AATGCTTGAAGATTTAGCTTTCCTGTGAATAATTGAACTAATATTTAGTTGTATAACCACTGTTTCTGAGAACTGTGTTGCATGGAGTCGACCAACTTCTGGCACCTGTGAACAGGTATTCTAGCCCAGGACGTTCGACTACATTCCACAATTCCTCTGCATTTCTTGGTTTAGCCTCATAAACAACATTCTTGATGTCAGCCCACAGGTTTTCTATTGGATTAAGGTGCGTGGATTGGGCTGGCCACTCCATAACGTTAATCTTGTTGGTCTGGAACCAAGATGCTGCTCACTGAGTGTTTGGGGTCTAACCCTTGTTGAAACACCCATTTCAAGGGCATCTCCTCTGCGGCATAAGGCAACATGACCTCTTCAAATATTTTGATCGATTCAAACTGATCCATGATCCTTGGTATCCGACACCATAGTATGAGAAACATCTCCATATCATGATGCTTGCTCCACCATGATTCACTGTCTTCACTGTGGCTTGAATTCAGTGTTTGGGGGTCATCTGACAATCTGTCCGTGGCCCCTAGACCCAAAAAGAACAAATTTGCTTTCATCAGTCCACAAAATGTTGCACCATTTCCCTTTAGGCCAGTCACTGTGTTCTTTGAAAACTGTAACCTCTTCAGCACATGTCGTTCTTTCAACGATGGGACTTTGCGGGGGCTTCTTGCTGATAGCTTGGCTTCACATAGGCATCTTATTGTTACAGTACTCACAGGTAACTTTAGACCTTCTCTGATCATCCTGGAGCCGATCCACGATCTTCCATCCATTCCAATGGTAGTTTTCCGTTTTCTTCCACGTCTTTCGGGGCCATGTTTACCAGTTTAAAGCATTTGAGATCATTTTCTGCACTTCTTCGTACTTTTTAATCAAAGTACGCTGTTCTTCTGAACAATGTCTGGAACGACCAATTTTACTCCAATTTTCAGAAAGAAATGCTCCATAACTAGCATGTGCAACATTGGCTCCCTGTTTGACGCCTGTTTTTTCCACAGGATGAATGACCTCACTAGTTGAACTCCACACTGCTATTACTTTGAACAAGCCGCTTTTAATTAATGATTCATTTACACAGAATCAGCCGCATGCATGTCATGACTGTTGGGTCTGTTGGTTTTCTATAACCCTACTACACCTAGTAAATTATTTGCCAAGTAGAAATATAATTTCTACCAAAAACAGTGATTGATCTGGTTAGTGATGTTGGACTGCTATTATTTTGAACACAACTGTAT